AATTTCCCATCTCTGAAGATCTGGATGTGGTTCAGACTTCCACCTATAGTCTTATGTATTGCAGAGGCTCCGCAGGAAGCCTCCTTCACTGGGCACGTTGTAGCCATTCAGGCATCTTTATCTGTTATTCATTGATATAATTTTGATATAATTGGAACTCTGTATATGATTATTGAATGAATGCTTTTATTATGCTTTGGATATATTCTTTCATGCTGAATTCTTCATAGTTCTTGTTACATAAACAACTTTACCAGTCTTTTTTTTTTTTTTTTAAAGTTTCTTATTTTGTAATTATAGCAAGTAGTATTGTCTTTTTTTACTTTAAAATTAAGCCTTTATCATTAAAAAAGGTTTATTTAAAACATTTTTTGGGGAAACCTTGTAGTTTGGGTGCACATAGTCACTAAGTGACACATTTCAGTCCGTTTAGCCCATCTGTTGGTTCTCAGTCCTTGATTGAAAAGAACAGTAGACTCAAAGATTAGTTTTAGAATAGTTCTTAATTTAATGTCAGAAGTATTTGGCATATAATCTTACTAGTTCTTCATGTTTGCAATATTTCTGCAACCTGATCTCTTGGAGTCAGCAAGTTATAGGATAAGTCTGTGGTCTGCTGTCACAGCTCCTCCCTTTGACTGCTGCTCTTTCTTCCACACATGATCTATCTAGATAGTTCCTTTGTAGAACCCATCTAATCATGTTTCTCCCGCTATACCCCAATAGATTCTACTTTATTAACTTTGTAGGGGTGGTGGTAGGTAGGAGTAAGAAGTGAGGGTTGGAACTAGGCTCAGTCTACGCTAGGTTTAGGACTTTGTTTAGTGTTAGGGTTGTGATTGGGACTAGGATTGGCGTTAGGGGCAGTGACTGGACTAGAGTTTGGAGTAAGGCTTAGTGTAGTTTTTAGGGTGATAGGGATATTTTTTTCTCATTTTTAAAACTTTTTCCTGTAAATTGAGTGAAGGTTTACAGAGCAGATCTTCAGTTTTACATTCAACAGATCATTTAATTTGCTTTATTACAATGATTGCAGTCTTCCATGTACCAAGAATTAATAGTATTTACCTCTGTTCACTTAACTATTGCATTTCTCTCAGTGTCTGCTACCTCGTTTCCTCTGTTAACTTCCCTCTTGTATATTGCCTGCCCTGTTACCCATGTTAACTTGTGTCTATCCTCTGTTGTTGGTTCCAACTCATAATAACCCTGTACAGGGTTTCTGAAGAGCAGCTGGTGGGTTTGAACTGCTGAGCTTGTAGTTTGAAGTCCAGTGCTTAATCCTCCAGCGCCACACTAGGAGTCCTGTCTCTCTAGCCCATGAATAGCTTTCCCTCCTCGCCCCCGTAACCATCATATAGTTTGCTTCATTTATTAAGAAAGCCTTTTCTTAACTTTTTTTTTTCTTAACTATTTACAACGTTGTTCTCATACAATATTTGCCTTTTTGTGACTCCCTGATTTTACTCAGCATTACTCTTCAATGTTGTATGGTATTCCATTCTGTGTATATACCAAAATTTGTTTAATCATTCTTCTTTTGGTGGGTATTTTGGTTGTTTCTGTTTTTTTGATGTGCCTCTTATAGACAGTATAGTGAAGGATCCTGTTTTCTTACCCATTCTGCTCTGTCTATCTCTGTGTCTGGTGCATTTAATCCTGTTACATTCAGTTTGATTATCAATCGGTGTTCATTGATTGCTGTCAATTTGCCTTTTTTGTGTGTGGTGCTAAGGAGCTCTGGTAGCGTAGTAGTTACAAATTGGGCTGCGAACCTGAAGGTTGGCAGTTTGAAACTACCAGCTGTTCTGCAGAAGAAAGATGAGGCTTTCTGCTCCCGTAAAGATTTATAGCCTTGGAAACCCTGTACATGGTCGCTATGAGTTGGAACAGACTCTATGGCGCATAACAACAACAACTGATTACTTTGTTCCACATAATTTTCTGCACTGAGTTTATTTTATTGTGGGTTTTCTTTTAATTTCTGTTGTATTAATGTTTACTAAATCTTTCTGATATTCCTCTCTTTTAATTTTTGATGTGCAGATATGTTAATTTTCTTTGTGGTTGCCCTATAACTTATTTGTTTTTTCCCTATTAAAAACAGTCTGTTTTATCCTTGAAATCTAGTTGACTTCCTATTTCCACTACTCCCTCTTTTACCTTTGTAGATAACTTCATTATAAATTGATATCTCTGGTTCCTTATTTTCAGTCTTGTAGGTTTGTTTTACTTTAACTATTTCTGTATCTGGATTGAGTTCTGGGTGATGTCATAAATGGTAATCTCAGGTTGTTGTCTGCTGTTTTTGGTTCTCAGTTCAAAGAACATCTTTTGGAATTTCTTATAAAGTTGTTTGGTCATTACAAATTCCTTTAATTTGTGTTTATCAGGAAACATCCCAATTTTACTCTCATGTTAGAGGGACAGCTTTGCTGGGTATATCATTCTTGGTTGGCAATTTTTGCCTTCTTACCTTCATAGTTTGTGCTGAGAAATCAGAGCTTAGTTTTTTTTTGTTCTCCTTTATAGGTAACTTTTCATTTTTCCTGAGCTGCTCTCAGGATTCTTTCCTTTTCTTTGGTTTTGGAAAGTTTGAATATATGTCTTGGTCATTTTCTTTTGGGATCTATCCTGTTTTGGATCCGTTCAGCTTCTTACATGCTCATCTTATTTTTTATGATGTTCAGGAAGTTTTCTTCCAACAACTCTGATAACTTTTCTCTGTGCTATTTATTATCTCTTCCTAATCTGGAATTCTGATCACCTGTAAGTTATTCCTTTTCATGGTGTGCCACATAACTCAGAGTTTCTTTGGGTTTCTTTTCATTCTTCCGATTTTTTTTTTCTAGCATACTAATAATTGAGAGATTTATCTTCCGGCTCACTAATTTGGGTTCCCATTGCTTTGCAACTACTCCTTTGTCCTTTCAATGTATTTCCCATTTATAAAATTTTAGTATTATTTATCTTCAGGATTTCTAATTGCAGGTTTTGTATTGTCTCAGATTTTTACGTTTGTTTTGTCTGTATGTTCTTGTAATGTTTTCCTGAATTCTTCTAAAGTTTTTTTCTGTATTCTCCTTACTTTTCCTCCATCTTTCTGTCCAATCCTTTAAAGGCACCTAAATATCATTCTTTTGAATTCGTTTTCAGTTAATTTCATTACCTTTTCTTCCTCAGAAATGTTTTCTGGCTGTGCATCTTGGTCATTTATTTGAGTCATTCTGTCTTGTTTCTTAATGTGAACTAAAATTGTCTCTTGTCTCTGGGACATTGTGGGATTGTTACATTTGTATTTAATTGATGATCATATGTTGATGTGTTCTTGGGCTCTCACCAAATGTCTACTGTGGGTGTATTTAGAGAATGGAAACATGTATACCGTTTTCTACTCCATTTGTACACCTCAGTTTAATGTGGGTTTGGCTGGTGTTGACTGCTGTCTGTCATTGGTCAGGTGGTGTTAGAGTTGGTATTTACTCTTTTCCAGTGGGTGGAGCGGCAGAGGGTCTATTTGTAGCTTTGACTGTCTGGTGGGAAAGAAAAATTCCTTCTCCCCCCCCTTACATACAATAAAAAAAAGTGGAATAAACAAGGAACCAACAATGAAAAGAGAAAATAATAAAGAGAATAAAAGAAATAAAACAGGCAGTAACCAGAAAAAAAATACATAACTATAAAGACAAAAGAGGGATTTTTTTTTTTTTTTTTGGTGTGGATCTACAGAAGAGAAAAAAATAACAAATAACAACACATAAAAGGAAGAAAAAGAAAAACTTAGACCAGGGAGAGGGAAGATGAAAAGAGATTAGAAAGTAGTAAAGAAGGAGCAACAGGGAAAAGATACATCATTGTTCTGTGTTGCATCGCGTTCCGTTGTGTATTTACTAGGTTTCATCAGCCATTCCTCTGATGGTGGTTGCCTAGGCTGGCTCCATATTTTTTCTTGTGTGAGTGGTTCAAATACTTTAAAAATATATAAAGAGGAGAAAGAAAAAGAAACAAAAACAAAACAATGAAACAACAACTGGAAACAAAAAAGACCTAAAAACCAAAACAAAAAAACAGTGCAACTATTACACCTGGGAGAGAGAAAACTCTGTGGAGCTCATAAGATGGGTGTGGGAAGAAAGTGACAGCAAAGTTTCTTGCCCTACATGGAGTTTCTGTTGTCCTCGATGTGTTATCTATGTTCAGGGCACTCAATCTGGAATTCGATCCCTTGATGGAACTGGTTTTGGTGTTTGTTAGGACCACGGGGCTGCTGGGGGCAATGTGACTGTTTCAGTGCTAGTCTGATGGCTATTGGTATTCTATACATGTGGAGCTGAGCCAGCCTGAATCCAGGCACCAAAGCAGCATAGCAAGTCCAACCACATGGTCTGAATGCCTGGAGAGCAGTGTCCACACTAGGGATGGATGAGAGTGGGAGCTTGCCACCCCTCTGGTTACCAGGAAAGTATGAATCTGCTTTGCCAGGCCACCTTCTGTTGCCACACTGCTCACAGCTGCTCATGCTGGCCATTCACCAGTCAGTCTCCCTCCCTGTCCCTGCTCGGTTTCTCCTCCCAGCAAACAGTCTTGGTTTCTGCTGAGAAATCAGAGCTTAGTCTTATTGGGTTTCTTTTTTTTTTTTAATGTTTTATTGTGAATTATGTGATAGTTTACATGGGATAACATTAGCTTTACATTCATTCTATCATATATCATTTCATTGTCATGGTTACAGTCCCCTCCGTACATCATCAACTAACCAAAGGGTTTATACCCCACAAGCCTGTCTCTTGGTAGTAAGCACACAGTCCCTCTCCCTCTCTGGGTCTAGAGTCTTCAGCCACTCCATCTCTCAAGGTCATCGTCTCTGCTGTTTCTCTGGGTAGGGTCTTATTGGTTTTCTTTTGTAGGTAACTTTTTATTATTCCTATTGATAGTGCTCCACTTAGGCATTCTTTGGATGTTTTCATTTTTTTTCTTACTGTTTCTCTGTTGTTGGTTGTTAAGTGCCGTTGAGTTGATTCTGACTCATAGTGACCCTGTATAGAGTTTTTGAAGAGCAGCTGATGGGTTTGAACTGCCAACCTTGTGGTCTGAAGTCCAGTGCTTATCCTACAATGCCACACTAGGAGTCCATATTGTTCCTCTAGCGGATGATTATTTAGAGATTTTTCTTCAAGTTCAGTTGATTAAGTTCTCTATTTCTTTGCCCTTTCAGTATGTAATCTATTTTTGAAGTCTTAGTGTTGACCTTCTGTTTTGTTAATTTTGTAGGTTCTCATTTTTTTCAATTTTGTCTATGTGTTGCCCAAGTTTTTCCATTGTTTTGTCTGTTTTCCTTGATTTCATCTATAGTTTTCTTGATCTTTCTTACAATCTGTTGAAGTTGCCTAATTAGCATTTTTTAAAATTCCTAATCAAGTAGTTCCAATACCTTTTCTAGTGCTATGTTTTCTGACTGCAGTCAGTGACTTGTTTGAGGAACTCTGTCTTGTTTCTTTGTGTAAGCTGGAATTGTTTTCTCTAAGACATTGTTGTATCTTACTTATATTTAGTTAATGATTGTATGTTTTTGTATTTTCAGGCACTTACCATTTGTCTAGTGTTGGATGTAGTAGAGACCAGAAGTGTGAACCCAGTTCTCTGTTTTCTGTTTCTGTAGCATAGTCCGGGGCAGGTTCAAATGCCTCCAAAAGCAGGGGCTATGGGGTTGGCAAAGGAGCTCTGGTAGCGTAGTGGTTACGAATCGGGCTGCGAACCTTAAGGTCAGCGGTTCGAAACTACCAGCCGCTCCGTGGGAGAAAGATGAGGCTTTCTACTCCTGTAAAGATTTACACCCTCGGAAACCCTGTACAGGGTCGCTATGGGTCGGAACCGACTCGACGGCACTTAACAACAACAACAACAACAATGGGGTTGGCAAAGGCAGGGACTGGCTGCTCCCCTGTTTGCTGTCCACTGTGTAGTACATCAGCAACTTTTATGTCAGCTGTTTTTAATGCCAGCCTCCTTAAGGACTAGTGAAGTTACATGATTTGCAAGGATAGATCAGCTAGGATAAAACTTGGATTGCTTTTCCATTATACTGTAGTAGTTAGTTAGAGTGGCAGAGGTTTCCAAATTCTTCATAAAAAATTGGGGGGATGATTTTCTAAAGGACTAGTGTATCTTTCACAGAAAAGCATTTGAAGAAAAGTTCAATGATTTTAACAGAGCTATTATGTGTAATTGAATCTTTTTTGATTTTCACTTCTCTAGGCAAACCCACCCTGTTTGCTGTCCACTGTTCAGTATATCAGTAGCTTTTATGCCAGCTGTCTGTCTGGAGAAGAATCATATTGGTGGATGCAGTTTACAGCAGCAGTGGAATTCATTAAAACCATTGATGACCGGAAGTGACCATGACCAAGGCCCACAGAGCCAGCAGACTGTTAATTGGGCAAACAGATCTCTGAGAAAATTTACCAGCTGCTTTGAAGGCTGAAGATTGCTTTTGTATAATATTGTATAGTACTCAGACATTTTAAAACAGATCTTTACTAAACAGATTAATGAACTAACAAGCAGGTTTTCTTTGGGCTCTTTTCCTTTTAGAGTCACATATTTTGTTATTTTTTTGTCCCCTAGTAGAGAATTGCACTGCAAAAAGGGACCACATTTTTCAAGTATTTTGAAATATTGAAAACAAAAATCTCTTAGAATATTCCTAGATCTCCATCCATGGATACAAATGTTCTTTTTTTTCTTTGAAAAAAAGAAGAGGAGCAGTACACCTCACCTCTTAAGATGCTGTCTGATTTGTTTGCATCTAATGGAAGAAAAATGCCAGTTGCACTGAGTATTGTAATAATGGTGACATTAGTGGCATTATCTATAAATATACTCCCCTAAATAGAAAAGCTAAGAAGGAAGTGTAAATAGAACATATATTTATATTTGATGTAATAAGGATATCTTCAGATTCTAGTAAATAAGGAATATTGCTGGTAGTAGGGTGTAACATACCTTCTTGTGAAATGATTTCCTCGACAAAGTTAAGCTGAGCTTAAGAGCAAACAACAAAAAAATTACACACACGTATTTATTAAAGTGTAATACAGTTTCTCGAACTTTCCAGGTGTGGAGTTAGATACACAGGGCTGCCTTTGATGAGAAGTATAAAAATCACTTAATAAGTCATTCAGACATTTCTCACCGTGGAAGTTTTTGGGCCTGCACGTAGGTGATAGACTCTTCATCAGCTTATGTTATGTTAAAGGAACAGTAGAAAACCAGTACTTTACTGTGGTACTTCTCATCTGAAATACAAATATACTGTGGAAACCCCAAACAGAGCTCCTTACAAACCTTTAATTGTAATATATTTTTTGATGATTATTCACATTGAATGCACAGTCCAGGAATTCAGTGAATGTCATTTTTTAAAAAACTAATTTGTATTGTCTGCTCTAGTGATACAGGTTTTGCTAGTGATAAACTATTTTAATCAACCATACTATTCTTATGGAGAAAAAAAAAAAGAACTATTTTGGCAGGGTTTTGTGCCTTTATTTCCCTATTCTAAAAAAAAGTATGTGTTTCAGTACTTTGGTTTGCATTCTATATCAGTAATAAATCCAGGAATAGATTTTGGTGCCTGAGAAATTGGCCAAGGAGACACAACAATGCTTCAAGCACAAGTGTAATACATAGGTCATTGCTGACTGGTTTCATTTTGTATGTTTCCTAAACATATTTCTTGATTGGCTTCTTTTATAACAAACTCAGTTCTGGACTTTGAATCCCTGTTGCTGGCAGCAGCATTTCCAGCCATTGGTAAAGTAACTGTGACACACAACCTTGGGCTAATGAGTACAGGGGCTGTTTGCTCTTTCTCTTTCAGATCTGTGTTTTATAATACTTAAAGAAGCTGGATTTCCTTTATGCCTTCACCTCTTCTTATTCATTTATTTTAAGACATTAAGCTGCATAGAAATGTGGGTTTTGGTTTCTACTTTTTAAAGAGAGATCAAAATTACTCTAGTGCTACAAAATGTCCTTTTGAATGTTAGGTCAAGAAACCTGTGTACAGAATCATGTACTTTATGGGCTATAACTGTCAAACGTGTAGGTTTTAGAAATCAAATCCTGTCAAACACTTCACAAGACAAACTGTATACCACAATTTCTAAGACCTAGATAATATCCATTTACATCAGCATTTGATAACAATAAATGTTAAAGAATACTTTGAATGGTCGGAATTCATTGTAATGAGACATGACTTGTAAGTCAATGAGAGGTTTTTTCCCCCTTCATAATAGTTGCTAATTCAATTCCATGTTGTCACTATGGAAATAAATATGAAGATGTGGACCTTGCACAGGGCTCTTTTCTGTGGAAGACAGTGGTGAATTTGGGGTATAGGGATCCCACTGGAGGCAGCAAATAGGTGCTTGAGCCAGTGGTGAGCATAGAACCACAGAGATTTGGGATCAGAATTACACATGAATGTAGGTGGTTGCTCTTCACTCAAATGTATGGACAGTGTTTAAGGGACAGCTGATTTTCCCTCCAAAAACCCGTCAGCATTAACCACCATTTGCTTGTTTTCATGACAGGATTTATTAACAAGCTGGTTTCTGAATTTAGTGATAAGTATACATGGTAGTGGAGGTGGTGTGTGAGATGGAGTAATTTGATTTTGCTCTTTTAGGAGAGAGGAATAATTATTATTCAAACCTTTCTTACTAAGCTTCCTCCTAGTACTTAATTTACATGAAGGATCTAGAACAAAAGTGCAGTATCCCCCAGGGGGAAAATTCAGTAGCCACCAATGATAACATTGAATTTACAAAGACATTGATGTCTTGTAAAATTAACTCTTCCCTACTGAAAAAAAAACTATTTGTATTTTGTATTAATATTCTGCTCTTGAAAATTAAGTAAGTAGAAATATCAATGGAAGATTGTCTTACCTTGAAAAACTTTTTTTTTAAGCCTGATAATTGTTTTGTTTGACTTCAAATCAAACCTCAACCAATAAAAAGTTACTGCCTTTTTAATAAAACCTGCTTATGAAAGGCTTGTTATACAGATAGTTAAGTAGCTACAGTAAAAGAATTAGGCTTTTGAGAGACTGGAAAATATGTGTGCTGCATGGTTTTTCTCTTCCTGTTGTGTTCTGAAAGTATTTGTTTAAAGTGAATTTGCATATACATGTTACTGTCATATGTAAGCAAGAGAACAAAAACCCGCATCAAGCAATAATGACGATCCTATCGATTATCGTGAGAATTCCAGATTGGACTAAATAAAGGTCAACTAGACATTCTAAATGTGTTGTTGTTGTTAGTGCCCTCAAGTTGATTTCGACTCAGCAACCCTGTATAGTGTTTCTGAGGAGCAGGTGGTGAGTTTGAACTGCCGACCTTGCAGTTCAAACTGACCTTCCGGTCCAGTACTTATCCGATAGCGCCACACCGGTACTCCTTTAAATGTTCAAGTTTTTAAAATGTTCTTTCTCTGATGTCACTGGATGTGAAAAGGGAAAGTAGGAACACACTTGATTATAATTGTTAGTAGATTGCTTAGAAGCAATAGAAATGTAGTGGAGATAGCTCCCTTAATTTATGTGTACTGGACTTTCTCCTCCTCCTCCATACCTGTTTTACTTCTTAAAGGAAAAGTCTATGTTTGTTCTTTTTTTGTTCTTTTAAGTCTACTGAGTTTGTTCTGTATGTAATTACCATCATTAAAAAAAAAAAAAAAAGTCTTGAAGCTCAAGTCATTTTCAGTCAACAGATTGACAGTGGTGAGGTAAGATGTTTTGAATGCCAAAACACTTGAGAACTCTGCCAGATTAATAATTACTGAATATATTTTAGAATGTAGGTTACCCAAAAAGTAGGATGACCAAGAACTGGATTACCCTTGAAAACACTTGGGAAATGAAGGTAGAATCGGCTTCAGAGAGTGCGGTGGTTGTGGGTGAGCTGTGGAATGTGTTGACAGCTGGTCAAGTCCCACAACCAGCAAAGATTAACTCAAGAGAGCCAGGCTTCTCTTAGGTAATAGTGGACAATGTGGGCAGGGACCACATGCCTTAAGAATTCATTTCTGCTGAATTGATACTCTGTCTTGTGAACCGTATTCTTGTGCTTCACCTGCGTTAAAAAGCTTTGTACAGCTTCACCTCTTGAAACTGGCAAACCCTTTATACAAGCCTAGGTTCGTGATCTTGCACAATCTTGTGTATGTACAGGAAAACTATCCTATCTCCTAGTGTGATTACTAATGAATAATATTCTAACACTGATTAAAAAGGGAGAGCAGTTTAATTCACAGGGTTTCATTTTTTCATCTATTTTATTTTTAGAAATATTTATGAAAATCTTTTTGACTTTTTGAATAATACTGATGTTCTCCATGAATTCACACTCATCTTTTTTCATCTGGACATCTAAGAATATTTGCTAAGTGTGGCACAAGAAGGAACTAGAATGATCCAGTGGTTAGTAATGAGCTGGTGAACATTTACTGTTTGTACACAGTTTCTAACTCACACCTGTATTTGGTAGCGTTTCATCAGCCTTGATTCTGAAAGCATAATGTCACTATCCTGATAATGATATTCACTGAAGCTTGCATTCATCTTTTCAGCTCAGAGAACTTAAACAAGGACCTCTTTTTCACAGAGGCAGGCTTACTCTTCAGACTCCACCCAGTTGTGAAAAGGTGCTTTCCCTATATTGATTGCACTTCATTTAGAAGGAAACGTTTAAAAACTGTATTAGGGTTCAGTTTTCATTCAGTATTAAAATTAACGGAATGGCTGCCTAGAGCTGAAAATAGAACTCATCTCTTCTTGCCAACTTGGAATTGCATTGCTCTTGGATTCCTGTTATATTTGTACCACTAAACACTTTCTCTTTGGAGCCCCTGGGTGGTGTTACACACTTGGCTATTAACTGAAAGGTTGGGGGCTAGTCTATCCAGAAGCAGCTTAGAAGAAAGGCCTGATGATCTGCTTTTGAAAAACCAGCCATTGAACCTTATGAAGCACGGTTCTACTCTACACATGGAGTCACCATGAGTGAGAGCCAAGGCATCAGCACCTGGTGGTAATGCTTTCTCCAAGTAAGTTATTCTAGCTTTTCTCACAAGGATGCTGAACTAAGGATTGTGTGCCTGCAATGCTTCCTGTAAATTGTTATGTAATGATTGTAAAAGGGAAACCACGTCAGAAGCTCCGAAGCCACAACAGCAATAAAAATAGGCCAACTACTGTTCAGGTAATTTAATTCAAAGCGACCCTAAAGGACATAGTAGAACTGCTCCAAGTAGGATTTCCAAGGTTGTAATTCTTTGTGGAAGAAGACTGCCGTATCTTTTTCCATAACATGGATGGTGGGTTTAAAACTGCAAACTTCTTGGTTTGCAGCTCAGTGCTTTAACCAGTATGCAAGTCAGGCACACACTCAGAAGCTCCTGATGGCTACAAATGTGCCCTCTGCCTAGAAAGGATTCATTGAAGAGCTTTCATTTCAGCCATTTTGTTACAGAAGAACCCTCTACCATCTGCTTAGGATAGAACTGTAGTCCTCAGACTTCATTGAAGCTTTTACTGTGCACTGAGTGATAGTCTACATGTCTGAACATCAGTTTTGTACTCAACCAATTGCATCTTGTTTCATTCTAATGATTACGTTACTCTTTTTTGGTGCACACAAAAACAGGAATATATAATCATTGAAACAGCCAAAGCCACATTTTGCAAACCAGTCCCCTCCCCGCCAGCACACAGCCTTTCTCTTTCCATGAGTCTAGAGTCCTCAGATGCTTTCTCTCCATGCCATCGCCTCTGCTTCTGTCTCTGGTGTCGCTGCTTCTCTGTTTAAGATCCCACGTTCCACTCATACTCTTCCCTCTTGTTGATCCTGTTCCTGGAATGTAAGATTACACCACACTTTTTGTTACACATCTACCTTTACAATTGTGACCATTG